ATGTCAGTCACTGATAACATTCTTTTATTCTTTAAATGGGTTGATAGCTTCCAGGGAAAAAAAGTAGAACTGGAATAAACTGCCTAAATTGTACACCATCTCACCTACTGGGAGTTACATTGGAATTCCAGAAATAGTAACATCCTTCATACTTGAGAACTTCGCTGGAAAATGTCTCAGAAGCAATGGCACAGAAATGATGCACAATTTTAAGAGCTCTAATTCAGATTTATTACCCTGGCAGAGTAGTGTCAAAAGGCGTATCTGAAGCATCAAATACATGTGAGAAGCAGACAATAGTGCATCACCACAATTCAAACCACACAAAGAAAGAGACACAGAAAGGAGAAAGTAGTAGAGGTGCAAGAGATACGGAGATACAAGAACACTCTACAGCTTTTCAAGGAAAAAAGCACTTCATTAAAGACAACACATTTGCATCCTTCAAATTAACATACAACCTGTTTCAAGAATCAATAAACCAAAACAATCTTCAATAAGATGTATGCTTTTTTTCCTGGTTGAGTTTTTGGTGTGGATTTTTTTTGGAGAGGAGGGATGGAGGTGTCTGGGTTTGTTTTGGGTTTGAGTTTTTTTATTGTTGGTGGGTTTTTTGTTTACATATGGAAGATGTAAGATGCAAGAACAAGTCATGTACTTCAAGAGACACATCATCTTAACGAAGTAATCCAAGGAAACTTGCATGTAATTCTTAATTGGGAATGATCTACACTGAGCCTGACCCTTCTCTGCCTGCCAGAGCACCAACTCCTATGCAGAAGTCCTGCAGAAGAGTGCACTGTGTTCTTCTTTAATAACCATCCTGCCTAGATCAGCAGATGAAACAGAACTTTAGATTAGCAGCAGGTCTCTCAAGTTCCTATGGTGCCACAGATTTACTAAATAGGATAAGCATGTTCTAAAAAACTCATGATCATACAAGGGGAAAAAGGTTCCACAGCATCAAACAGTGCAATGCTTGAAACCTCATAATCAAAGTGACAGTTTTCAAGTGCCATTTACAATGCCCTAATCTGGAAACATCCCAGCTAACCCATCTGATCAACTATTTCACAGATGGAAGCACTTGATGGCTAATTGGCAAGTCCATGATTCAAATAAAATAGCTATCTGCACTTCTATTTTCTATATTCCAACTCAAGGTGTAAACACTCCTTACAAGATACAGGTCAGTTCTCTGTCTCCCCCTCCCTTCCCATTTGGACTTTTTCCCTTCCCCTCTGTCATCAAATATGTTAATTCAAAAATACAGAACGAGTTTTATTTTTCATCTATTGTACTAGAACAGTTGTCTGCATGAACAGAACAGTGTAAATAAATATTTTCAAAAATCCATCAAGTAATGAAAAATTACTTCAACAGCATTCTTAAGAAGTGTCATTGTTTCACTGCTTCCTATCACATCTGGATTCAACATGTGCTAGCACGGACAAGAACTTGTATTGCTTGGACTGTTGTTCTGAAAGTGTTGGGGAGAGAAAGCTCGGCTAAAAATACACTTAATTTGCTCACACCCTTTAACAATACTCAGTAGGATTGCCTAATAGAGGCATATGTGGAACTGATTTCACTAGCAAACAATAGTTCAGCATACAAAATGAAGAGGAGTATTGCTCCAAATTCCTGCCTGCTACATAAGTAGAATGCTTTTACGTACCCCACAAAGCCTGTTAATTTGTCTGCAGCAAATGTACAATGCAAAGTAAAGTACTAAATCACTAGTGAAATTCTGTGGTAGGCAGTATTCCAGGGGGAAGAACAGGGAGAGATGGAAATGAATCAGGAAAAGAAGATAACTAGAAAAACCCTCAACATGATAAAGGGAAGGAGAAGAAAGAGAGACGACCATACAAGCAAAGAAAAACAAGGGCATTGCCAAAATCTTAATTTCCATTAACTATAGGGGGGGAAGTGAAAGTAATAAGCATTTTCTTTGGGACATCACAACACTTTCAATCTTTTACAGTTTCCCTACATCTTTTTGAAAAAGCTTCCATGATTGGTTCATCTTATGCATTTACCACAAGAGCAGAAATTCAAGACAATAAGAGGTTATTTCCCAGGTGTACAACACCAGCCATGTAAGACAAACAATTTCTGCATAAGAAAGTGTTCCAAAGAAGGTCATATTTTTGGCATCAAGTTCAAAACTAAATACAGGTACCTTCCCATAAAAAGAACACATAGTTAATGACCAAGTGCACTGTCAGAAAATACTATGAATGGCTTATGTAATGCCAAAAGCTATAAGGTTCTCTTCCCCCTTCCTCTCTTGTCCACCTGCTGCCCCACAAAGACAGTCCTTTGTCCATCTATGACTAAAAGAGAAGACATGGCTCAAGATTTCTAAGCCACAAGTCACTGGAGGGAAAGCTTATTGTTGAAATATCACTTGAAGATTACTTCCTTAAAGGTTTGTTTATCAACCATATGATGACAGGCTTAGGGCAGATGCAACTTAGAACTGACCACCTCTGGATAAGTGAAGGCCAATCAGCCACTCAGTAGCATCCTGAAGGAGCAAGTAGTAAGAAAAGAGAAACACAAGTGCAGTGAAAGTAGTTCTAGAGTAGAATACAGTACACAAAAAAATTTGAATAGAATATTGCAAAAACACTAATTCAAAGAGCATTTGGGACAGTATATTTGAGTTTGGAAATGAAGAAAAAAACCCAAAAAACTCTAAACAATATAATAATCAGAAGAGGCACTTTTACCAAGGTGAAAGAGCTGAGAAAGTACTGCTGAAGAAGCTAAAGCAAGTCAATGAGAAAGAATGCCTTGGCAGAGACCAAGAAAGAACTGTGCTGACCAAGCATCTGCTGTTACTTTAACATCAGTTACAGAGAAATCAAACGGACTGACAGCATACCTTATGTGATGCAGTCCTCTTGCTAAGCAGACCCCTAGCTACAAGCAAAAAATAATGCCCAAATTATGTGATAAAACTACTTTGAAAATGCCTCTTCTTCTACCAGACTATACACACAGATGATTCTTATGCCAGCAAGAATGACTCACTCAGATGTTTTTACTATGTTCAACCTTTAAAGCAAGAGCTCAGAACAACTGTGACACAGTAATAAGAAAAACAAAAACCTTTGTACACTCGTTTAAAACACTTTAGTGAAAACAAATAGTGATAACTGTTTACTTTCTAGCACTACAAAGTTTATTCAAGAAGTATCCGCCTTCTCTCTTCTAATTCAAAGACACCTGATTCTCTCTGGACTATCTCAATCTCAATTACTAATCAATTGATACTCAGAACAGAAGTAACCTTTGAAGGTCCATTGAAACACAATACTTTAAGGACATAAAAATATTTTTTTTTAAAGCTTTCCTACTGATTCAATAAACCAAAAGACTATAAAAGTAGTCAAGACATCCAGTGCAAGTAGCAACTTGTATAAAGAGCAGTTCAGTTTTCTGCCTTTTTTTTTTTAATCCAACACATACTCATCAACTCATTTAAGAGCAGCTTTGCAGGCCAAAGCTACCAGAGGAGTTCAAAGCTTCTTCTGGATGTTATATTCTATTGTCTGCCACAATTTTCTAGCAAACTTTAAGATAAGATGAAAAATTCAGAAAACAGTAGAGAGTTAACTGTAAATTTGAAAAACAGCTTTGATATGCGTCAAGTTCAGAGAGGACTAAGAAGTGAAAGCTTGAGAGATTAGACTGCACAGATGTTAAAAAAATGAAGAGTCATGAAGCAGGCTGGCAGCTCAGAGGAACAAGAGAAATAACTGTTTAAGAAAATTAAACTAAAAATAACTGAGGGCGGCTTGAAGATTCACTAAGAGAGCGTGAATAGAATTTTAGCTATAAAAAGGAAAAAAAATTATGCACCAAAAGTTACAGTTTATTTGGCAAAACACCTAGAGTTTGTAAATCAGCTTAGAATATTTCACCAAATGCTTCAGTATTAAACCCTCTTTGTAGTTATACTGGACACAAAGGCTCTACACACAAAGAAGCTCTGGGTTTAGCAATTTCAGTCATCCCAGAAGCAACCTGGCACACACATCCTGAAGTCCAAGACACACAGAACTGATTTCTCCAGAAGAACAAGAGTCTGAATTCTTGATTTAAAACAGAGCCCTGGAGGCAGATGAGGAAGGCAGAGAAAGGCCGGCTACTGCAGCCAGCCAAGACCTCAAAGAAAATAACACCGGAGCCCGTTCCTTAGGGAAATAACTCTTCCTACAAACCTCAAACAAAGAAGTTCCTAATTATTTTTTTCCCCTGTATCCACAGTGATCAGCACAATGGAATAAGATCAGCTTGGTTTTATTTTTGAAGACTGCTGGCCATGCCACTTGACCAAGGCAAAAAGCACTAGGACTTGCTGCAGTGGCAGGAGAAGCCATATAATGTGAATAGGTCTCTCACTGAAACAGGACAGCTGGCAGGGAAGCTTTTTTCCTGTGAGTAATGTTACAGCAGTGAGGACAACAGTCAACAAGACACAATAAAACACACATATAGGTGGCTACAAGTACCTACAAGTGATAAATTCGGCTCAAATTACCTCTTGAAATTTACGTATACTTCAGTATCTTATAATGCCCCATCACAAAGTGATCCAAGGACTGAAATACATCATTTATGAAGGAGCAGTGGATACGTTCTGCCATTTAGAACACTCTTCATGTTCTGAAATTCCGTATTATGGTAAATTGATTTTTTAAAAATTTTTATGTGTTTCCAATGCTTTTCAATTCAAACTTTAAAATGTTCAGACACCAAATGAAAGGTTTATAAATGTTATGTAAACTCAGTGCCAAAACAAGAATTCATACTGACAAAAAAAAAATATGTCAGGCTATAACAATGATTTGCATACACATAAACAATTCCTAGAGTCAAAGATCATTACTATGAACTGGGTTTTTTTTTTGATGCTGCTTTTAAATATAAGAAAAGAAATATTCCAGAATTGATTAATATTAAAGATTGACAAGCTATATACTCACCTGTCCGAGCCCAGGCATACCTCCTCCCAGCCGCAGAAGTCTATCCATATTTCTAGAAAAACAGAAACAAAGGAAAAATGTTCCCAAGCTCTGAAATGTTTACTAAATTGCTATCTATATAATTCACCTTCAGTCACTGAGTATGTCAAAAATATTGGTGGTAATTACAACACAACATCAGACTTCCTGTTAATTAACACCACATATTAATTCAAGAAGCTGTCTTCCATGCTAATTAACAGACTTTGTTTTATTGCTTTGGTTTTGGGTTATCCCCAGTTCTGAGGACAAGCATTCTTGTCAAACTTCTGAAAACTTTCCTATCATTCAATTAATTGGGGGATTTTTGTTGGTTATGATCAGCACCTACAGCCAAAAAGTTCCTAAAACTTTATTCCTAAAATTTCCTAAAACAAATTTACTTCAATTTGTTCAAAAATCATGAATAAAAATGTTAAAGTAAGGATTTTAGCATCCTCATTAGTAAGTTCTGTGCTAATTAACTTACAGCTTGTCAGTTATCATCAAAACTACATGTGAAAGACACTAAGCAGATTATGGATCTCTGAATTAGCATCAAAAGCTTTTTTTAATGAACTCATTATACTAAAAGAAATACTGTAAAGTAAACATTTAATGTGTATATAGTTAGAAGACTAGTGACAGTACAGTCACTTAATACATTTCCAGTGTTGCATGTGCCATTGCTTTAGCACAAGATTATTCCAATCAATGCAACTTGTTACTTAAAAAAAGAAAACGCAGTTTTTGTGTCTTGCAAGTTTCAAAGGAGCGATCTCCAGGAATAAGAGCTGTTAAGGTCCCCCAGCTAAAAATATTACAGTGATGTTTCTTTCTCTGCATTTTTTTCACTTTCTATTGTTGAAACGACAACAACTATTTCATTGTGGATACCTAAGTACAGGTTCTGTCCCAGTTTTCACAGAACTTTATCCTGCTTTCTTGTCTTTTTCAACTTCCTAGCTTTATACAACAAAACTCAGAGATGAAAAAAAAACCAAACCCCAAATATTACTTTTTAAACAGCTGTCTTCAGCAAATCAAGCCATTTCCAAGGCGTATAGAAATTAAGAAAATGTTACTGGTTTATTTTATTCGTGAAATAGAAGATACAAAGTAAAGCATCAGAAACTATGATCTTAATTGGACAAGATTTAATACAACACAACAAAGCCTGTTTAGGTGATAAAAGGAAGTATGATGTCTGAAATACATTCATCCTCCAAATGGATGTTACATTACAAATAAGAGGATTATATACATGATTTCAGACTACATTAGCAATACTAATTCAGCAGCCCTCTTTTAAAAAGTAATTATGCAAAAGAACTTGAAAAATAAATTTGCTTTGTGTATTAAAAATAAAAGTCTTCATGTTAAAGGTGCAAATAATCTAAGCTTCTAAGCACACAAAGAAGCAGCATTTTAATTCCTACTTTAATAATTTCATAACAATATCAAAGATACATGAATCAATAATACTTGGTCTATTTGCTAATTTCACTTTCCCAGTCCAATGCATTACCAAGCTATTAGTTTAATTTGATTAACTCCCTTAATTTTGTAGGTACATGTGAACCCAGCAACTGCAGCCTCAACTAACAGTAAGTGCTTTCTTAAAGCTCTATTGGCACTGTATGAATTAAAAAGGAGTTTATTAAAGGGTCAATGGTTATCCTCCTCTTTTTCACAGTCATTGAAACCAAGTTTCTTTATTAGAGGCAAAAGCTGCACACAGTGCATATACTTTTCTATCCTGAACTACAACAAATTCCAAATCAAGTTGTAGGATTTCTTGGGAAAGGTTAAATTGCTGTTTAAAGCTATTATGTAAGCATATGTTAAATGGCTTCAATGAAACAGTCACAATGTTACCATAAATTAACGCCAACTACATTTCATTTTACCCGTGTGGTAGATACTCCTCCATTGAAACACACAATGATTCATCTTCTGTGACACTAATGAGGGCTGAAGAGTAACTGAGAAGTAAATTTAAACTACTAAAATTATTATTTTAATCCATCATGATTGTAAGAAACTCTTGGTCTCTACAACTGATAACCATAAAACTGGGCGTTCCTACAACTACACAACTTCCAAAAACTGATGAGGTGTATTACCTATGTACTTCAAGAAACGATATTGAATAATAAATCTTTTAATGCAAGTGAAAAGCAATAGTTAGTACTAACTAGTTAATATTTTATTTACACAGTTTTTTCCAGTTTCTAACTCAATAGAACAGTACATCATTTATAGAAGCATATTTTGCCATATTAAAGTTGGATTAGACTAATGCATTAAACAAGCTGATTATTTATCAGCAAAACCTTACCAAAAAATCTCATTGCTTTATACAATTGGAGAGATGCAACATTTCCCACCTAACTATCACTGACTAATCACTGAACTGAGATATTCAGATTTTTAAGACAGCGGCACAAACAGAAAGTCTCCAAAAAACAACTCTAGATGCACTGCAAATTGTTTCACTAGCTCCATGAGTTGACTCTGGTTAGAGTTGTGGTAACCACTACTTTACTTGCCTATTTGTAATTGAATATGTTTTAGTAGGTTATAGCATATTTGGACCTAAACGTATTTGTTTACTCTGTATAAATATCTGAATAATTTAGGTTAGCGAACCAAATCAAAACTACTTTTAATTTTTGTCAATCCACTGTATCTAAATATTATTTCAGCCATAAAATCCATTTACGAAACAGTGTTTTTGTAAACCTTAAAACAGTTTAAGCAAAATTTTTAGACCTTAATTAAGATAACTTTAGCCTTTACAAATAAAGCAAATATGCATTTCTAACCTGGTGCTTAGCAGGAGTGATCACAGATCAAATGTGGCAGCAGCTCCCACTTTTTGACTGTAAAGATGACACCAGTAAGTCTCTTTCCTACACAAGGAAATAGAAAGAAGGGGAGAAAACCGGTAAAATTCAGAAACAGTAGCCCACGTAAAAAGAAATGTTACATGGATGACCCCCAAAAGGACAAAGCATCACTGAAGAATAGCCCAAAGAATGTTTGCTGGGTTTTCTTTTTCCTTTTACCATATAATCTCTTGAAGTGGTATATGCCACATCTTGCTCAAGTATCCATAACACTGAAAGAAATTTCCAAGACTCTCAAAATGACATGTAAGAGTATTATAATAATCCATTTATGCAATTTAAAGCTAATCGATTGTTTAAAATGGCGTTAGAAAGTGAAACCATGGTCCTTTTTCACTATTTAGAAGACCTTGTCTAGCTAAGATGACCTAAGCACCAAGGTTAAGAGCAGTCTGCAGGTACAGATAGTTTTGTTTATTTCTGCAGGAGCAGTTTGTGTGACTGGAAAAGTCACAGAGTCTTTTAGGTTTGCCTGAATTCAGGTTGAGAAAGGCTGCTTCACACTCAATTTAGGAATTAAAATTCATGTTATCCTCCTCTCAGAGAACACTGCCCACTAATTGCATCCACTCAATCATTTGTAGAGCAGTGTTTTAAAACAGATCTGTGAAATGATCTGTGGCCATGATTTGATAGACATTTTTTTCAATGTCAGTGTTAACATAAGGAGCAGTGGGGAAGCTGCTGCTGCTTACCAACTTGATGCTGCTTTCTCAGTACTGCCAGGACAGCCATTTGTGCAGCCTTGCAGTAAAACTGATAGGCTAACAAAAATGTTGGTTTTAACCCTGTTCACTTCCCTGAGACGATTCACACTGCATCCCAGAAACAGTTGTCTTGGTGTAACAGAAAAAGAGGTCTTGGAAGAGCTGATTGCTTCTAACACTAATCCAGACTCCAGAAGACATTTTATGTCAAATCATTCTTTAAGCTAAAGCTGCCCAAAGACTATGTGGGTTTGGGGGTTGGTTTTGAAGTTTTTGTTTGGGTGGGGTTTTCTGTTTTGCTTTGTTTATTAGTAATTGAGGTAATTTAACAGAGACCCTTTTGAACCTTATCTCAAAGTAGTACAAGAGCAAAGAAAGATGTGTTCACCTTCCTGGAAAGTTAGAGGAGAAAGAACAAATCAGAGTTTCTCAGTGCTGACAGCTTGGGGTGGAATTCCACTAACAATTCAAATGAAAAGTTACTATACTTCTAACAGCTTTGCAGAAGGAAATGATCCTTTGCAGAAGGAGAGATCACATGAACCAGGACTACAACAGCCAGCAGAATAGGCTACAGCAGAACTGGATCCAGTTCTTCAATTGGGCTTCAGTTATAACCCAATTCACTTTTAAGAGGCTGGCCACCCAGACGACTTGCTTTCCCTTCCCCACTTACTACAAGGGTATTAAAGAAACAGATCTCTGTGAGCTTGGTCTGTTCCCCCGAGAAGCACACAGCACGGTCACCTATACCTGAGAATTTTTCCTCTCCCTCCTACAAAGTGCAAAAAGCTAGTTTTGATTATGCAACTTACCTATTGTTTTTTTCCCTACATTTGCACACACATACACACGCATATAAATAAAAGACAGAAAAGTAAACAAACAGTTTACAGTAAATCTCACCTCCTTTCCTTCCAAAGTCAGCAAAGGTATTTTGATAATGTTTCCTTCAATCTGCAAGGAAGAGTTAACAGTCTCTGTTTAAAGTAAGGCTTTAAGGAAGTGAGTAAACGTATCAAATAGTTCCATATCAGGAAAATGCAAAAGGACAGTTATAATTATAACAAACTTGTATTTTGGTGCAACCAGGATTTGGATGACATACACTCATCACTGAGATTATTATGTTAACTAGTGGCTTTAAAAAATGAATTAAGTAGCTTCTCTGCTTATGAATGTCTATGATTGAAACACTTGCACTAAAAAATCTTGGTCATATATTGGTCATGTATTTAAAAAATCCATGCTTCCATTGTTGTAGTTTTAACTGTCCTGGCCTCAAAAGGGAAAAGTCTGTGGATATTAATAATGCAGTGAAAGTATACACAGAGCATCTCAAAACTGACCTGAAAACAGAAATTTTAAAACCCATGCCTAATATTTGCTCATAATACTACTGCTAGGTAACTGTAATAATTGGAAAGAGCTGCCCATTTGGAGAACTCTGGTTCATCAGTCAGTTGTTCGTTGGTACTTTCAAGTTACTTAAATGGTGACTCTTAATAATGAAAACATTTTTCCTTAGGTAACATAGGGATGAAGTTATATAAAAGGATTATGCACAAATGTATATACACATGTAGGTATAAACCAACAGCTACTGTGTTTATACTTGGCATGTTTCAGCATGTATTTTGAAATCAACTTGAAACACGATCTTAAATTACGGTATCTCTTTGCATGAGAAACATGAGTTTCACACTACAGTGCACTATTTTTATCTAGCATTAACACTCCATGATGCGATCCCTCAATGAAAGACAGTTCTTCTGGGTTGGCAACTTTTGAGTTAGTAAAAAAACAACTATCAAAATCAGCTTCGACATACACAGAAAAGAAAACACTGGCTACTAAACTGCCGTATTAGTGGAGAGAGTATCAGGCTTGACTCAGGTGACAGCAATTTACTTCACAATTTGTACACTGAGGGACTTGATGCAAATCATTTCATCCTCGAAAACTCAGTTTCTCCACCTGAGACTACATAATAATCTTTGTACAAGCACTTCCAGGTCTCCCGTTGAGAAGTTATACATAGTAGATGATCAACAATTTTATTAACAGCAACTAAAAAAGTGGTTTAAGGTTTTTGCTGCAACTGTAACCATTTCAGCTTCACTAGGGATGATAAACAGCTACAAGGGCAAATCAGTTGAGAAATTACATATTGCAGAAAAACATCATTTTGCCAAGAAAAGAACAGGTAAAGTCATCAAACCAGAACAGATACTTCACATATGAAAAGGCAGAGAGGGGGCGGGGCTAGTCTATCTTCCTATACATTCTGTGTGAAAAGAGAAAAAAACAATATTGATGTTACCACCAACTGTCAGTCACCTGTTCATTAAAGCTAAAGATTAATTTCATGAATGAGTGTAGTCTCAGCAGTGCAAGTCCAGAATTACACAACTATTTTGCTTCTATAATGTGCTCAGTTCTATAAATCCAGATCCTATTTCAAGATCACATAGACCTGAATCTCAACAGACATGAACTGGACGAGAAGGTCTGCAGGTTCTAGACTCTGCTTTCTGACTTCTAGAAGTACAGCAAACGTAATTCTACTACGTTCATTGCTGAGCTGGAGTTACTGAAGTAACACAGACTGAAACAAACTACTCTAAAGCTACTAAAGCATATTCACACCAAACTTACAGGTAAGCAAAGATTCATTAACAAGTTGCATCACCACAGAAACCCACAAAATTAATCTTAATTTTATGCTACATATAAAGTAACAGACTTTTCTGAAATCTGCAGAAAGGCAACACACAACTATTGTGGAACCATCCCACCACCAACTCCAACAAATACTCATCATACCAGTTCTCTATTATTCAAGGTATTCTCAATACCTGTCCTTTCCTAAATCATTCTCTTCCATCATCCTAGATGTTACAAGACAGTTGTAGATACTATTAGTATATACCCCATAATGCTTGTCAAGAGTGAATCACTTCCAAGAAAGCTTACAAACTAATTTATATGTTGGTGTTATTTAATGCTAATTTTAAAGCGTTCCCTAGTTTATAATTTTCTAAACCATAGATATCAAATGAATATCACTGACATGGCATGTGTTAACAGGTGATTTTCCATTAAGCTACAGGCTAAACTCAGTTGCTCAAAGTCACACAAAGTGATTCAGAAGCAATTCATATGCAAGCCAGTTTCTGAATTTCTTCAAACACAGATATTTTTCCATGTTTCATTAAGGTCACAAACAGGCAGACAGTACACCTCAGACTCACAGGCTGAAAGCTTTAAGATGAATACAAACCTGTCAGACTTTTCAGCTTGCCTAGTACCATTTCAGTTATATACAGCTTTCAAATACATTTACATAAAACTTCTCTCTAAAAAGTAAATCTCAAGCCCTGTGGTTTTCTGTTTTTCCACAGCACACCTAAACCAAGTGCAACTGCAAGAGATGACACCAGCATATACGCAGATTTGCCCAACTGTTTACAAGTATCCAACTATATTACATAAAGTTGTTCCAAATCCGATACTTAAGTCGGCTGCATCCTAGAAACAGGGCTGTTAAATTTTGTTTATCGCTCCTTTTCTACTTAATTCTGCTTCTTTCTCCTTCGCGTATCCCAGCCAGTGCTTTGCCCTAACTTCCCCTCCCTCTCCGGCTCCAGCTGCAACACTGCCGGGGATCGCGGCACCGCTTCGCTCCGGGAGCAGCAGCGCTGCCGCCCGTGAGGCGTCTGTGTCGCGGCCCAGAGCGCACAGCAACCCCGCTCTCGGCGCTGCCGAACCACGACAGGCCGGGGCGGAGGCGGCCCGGCCGCGGGGCCCGTGCGGCGCCGAGGCCCGGCCGAGACCAGCAGCGGGGCCCCCCTGCGCCGCTCCCCGGCCCCTCCCGCCGCCTTCACCCGCCCGTTCGCAGCCGCCCTGGGGCCGCCGCTGCCCCGAAGCGCCCGGACCTCCCCGGGGCGCAGCCCGCACCAACACGAGCGGGCCCCGCCGACCCCCCCGAGCCGGTGCCGCTCGCCAGACCCGCCCCGTCTCGCTCCCTCAGCACAGCCCGCGTCCCCGCCCGGCGCCCGGGCCGCCCCCCACTCAGGCCGCGGGCTCCCCGAACACCGCAGAGCGGGGGCGGCCGCCCCGGCGGGCCGGGCCCTCACCTGGGCCGGAGCCGCCCGGGCCGCGGTGAATCAGCCGGATCTCATTCAAACCGAGCCCTTCCCGGTTCACAGGGCACCCGGCGGCGGCTTCCGGCCCCGCGGCCCGCGGGGAGGAGCTTCCGAGAGCGGAGAGCTCGGAGAGGCGAGGGCTGAACCGAAGCGGCCAAAGCTGCTGTGCTGAGAATGCTGTGGGGTCACTTCGTCCGCAGCTCAGGGTCACGCTGCAGCCGAATGTCACTAGTGCTCAAACAACGAGACAATAGGGTGGCAGAAGAACCAACGAATGTGTCATCGAGTCAATAAAAGGATGGGAACAGTGCATGTACTCTCTCAAAAACAGTGTTACAGAAAATAGGAGGATTTAGAGAAGAGCAATGAGAGTGGCCATATGCATAAAACTAGCAGAAGCAGAAATGGGAAAGAGTGAGAGGTTTTGCCAAACTAAGACAACTGGGAGATAGTCAGGCAAAAGCATGCTGATGAATGATGCAAATTTCTCTGATGCAAACAGAGAAGCAAAATGGAATTTCTGTTATCCTCATGTTAAGGGAGGAGCAAAAACTCTTTTGTAAATTAAAAGAGGAAAATACAAGGCCAAGGAAATACTTTTCCTGACGGTATGTGATCAAGTTGTGAATCTCAATGCCTCTTATGAACTTAAGGCTAAAACAATAATTTTTTTTAAAAGTTGATTGATATCTAGTTACTGAAATATTGCAAATATTTTAGGAAGTATTGGAACAACTTAACCTATAAAAGCAATTTATTAGGACTCTATAATGGAGTTTCTGCCATGAATGACCATGAAGAGCCTTGTGGTTTGTTTGACAACTCCTTTAAGAACTGAGAATGTAATATTAGAAGATGATCAGCATTTTCTGCTCACAGACTAACTACATGGAAGCAGGTGACAAGACACTATGTTATAAATTATACAGAAATAACATCAGATACAGATGCGGTCACCACTCCCATGACACTTTAGCAGAAGTGGAAGTTTTAGGGTTTTATATCAGGAAGTATAAAATTAATCAAAAGAAAGGGAATTACCATGATACATACTATTCTGTTTTTTAAGAGGGGCCACCTTTTTGAAAAGCAATATTCTTATAATGGTCTCTTCCATCCCTTTTCAGCTTTACTAGGCTGAGGGAATCACAAGAGTTAAAGTTTCCAAAAGATTCTTAAAAAGCTAAAGGGTTAAAATGTAGTTTACATTTTGGGTCAGTCATTTCTTTTTCATGTTACTAATGCAAAACCTATTAGTGGAGTTTATTGCTGCACCCACAGCCAAATTACTCAGAAACAAAGAGTAAAAAAAAAAAAATCTATGTGTGTCTGTGTGTATGTCTATCTATGTATGTGCCTCAAACAGAAGAAAACTTGCATCCTGCTTCAAACAGACTGTTACGTTCTTTCCTGTTTTAACCTGACAAAACTTAGCTCCTGTCTTGAGGCTGTATTTTGAGACTTGTGCATGTCTTAATGTTCTCAGAAGTCATTATAGTAACTATGTGGTCAAAGATTTTTGTTTTAGATTAAATTATTGAGGTAAAGAATTAATTTAGTGAACTGAAATGCTTTATATATTTTGCTGGTTTGTACCATGATTTTAAGAGCAATCCTATTATTCCTTCATGTTCACTGGAATTCTAACTCCTTAATGAGAAATACTCATTATATTTCAGTTCTCACTCTGCAGTCATGTGTCTTTAAGGAACTCTGCACTTCTGAAAAAAGAAACACAAATATTTATGAAAAGTGAGCATTCCTCTGGGTTAATATGTATAAGAAAGAAAAACAACATAGTTACATCTTTGTATTATGCCTATACCCACTGACTTAAATGAGCAATGTCATTTCAACCCATTTGAAAATTTAGCTCTTCTCCTTTGAAATACAAAGTGTAACAGACTTTCATTGTTATTCCTAATTACATTTCAAATCATAGTATTGACTTTTTTAATATATACATTTATTGAAATTTTATAAATAAGTATAGTTACAGAAGAAGGAAAAAAAGGAGAAAATAGGAGAAATATTTACATTAGAAAGTATAGTGAATTAATTGGATATATAAAGGCAGTATCATGCTTGGTACTTATGACAGATGGTATTTTATATTTTTATATAAAAAAGATATATTCTTAATTGTATATGTCAAAGGAAAGAGACCATATGTTGTTAAACACTTCCAAATTGTCATTTAATCTGAAGGGCACTCACTCGCTCACATGCTACTGAATCCCTTATTGTTTTGGTCTAACCAGCGTTAATCGATAGAAGATTTTATTTATTGTTTTGCAGTAATGTAGTGCTAAATGAAAATGTTCAAGGTTTGTTCCCTTTTTTATTACTTGGATGGCTGTCATAAGTGATAAAAACTTCCTTTGGCTGGACACTTACATTCCTTCTGTTTTCCCCATGCTAACCTATCCTTGCTTGTCGTGAAGTGATCAACAGGGATCAGACTTGATAAGAGATCACACCATTTTTTCCTAACTCCTGGTATATAATTTCCCCTCTAAGTCTGTTTGTGATTGGATTAAAGCAGCAATATTGCTGAAGCTCCATAATTAAATAATTTAATTTTACAAAGCTGAGTGATAAAATTTAAGAGTTGTGTGTAGAACGAGAAGAATGCCTTGAGAGATTGGCCACAATTTTCTTGCAAATCATATATATCGACAAATATAGTCCTAGTTTGTGCTAGGACAGGATGAAATCTCCAGGTCTGAGATATAATATATATTAAAAAAAAAAAAAAAAAAGAAGGAAAAAACCCCAAACCCCCAACAAACCCAACAGAAGATACAGTTTTAGAAAGCCTGGTATTAGAACACAGGATGCACTGTGGATTGGACAAAATATTAGAGTTGTAGGTAGTTTTATTTCTATGTTTAAACATGTAGAACAGAGTATAGGGAATGAATATACATCAGGGAATACAAGATCTGATGTCATTCTTGTGAGAGGATAATAGAGTCAGAAGCACATTTTTTTTGGTTTTTTTTGCTTAGAACTATGTTTGGCTTAGAACTATTACTGAAAAAGTAATGGAGGAATAGTAGCTTCTTGAACTGCAGCCTTTCACCGCAGAAATGGACTGGAGCTCTGTCTTGGCAAACCTGTATATAGGGAAGTGGTTTCTTCTGTTATACTTGGCAAGCACTCACACAGTTAGAAGTGCTGATGGTAACCTCTGTGACATCCCCAACAGCTTGTACAATGCTTGATCAACTCCTTGCTGCATATAGAGTAGTAACAGGTCTTGTCACAAACAATGAATAAAATTTTACAGGATTAGTTAAAGATAGTATATAAGAGTGAGATTACTTTTTTTAGTCTTCTCAGCAGTTCTACAAATCAGCTGCAGAAGGCTGTTAGAGGCTTGAAAGAGGCTTCATTAATCATGAAACATATGATTATTGAAAACCTGCAAACAAAACTATTTGCATCTCTTCCAGAGCACAGACCTGCCCATTAAAGTATGACAAGTAAAAACTCATCTTAATTTGAGTGAGAAGAATGGTAACAATATATTTGGATATAATCCATCCCATTTTAGAAGGGAGAGGATATTAAGGAAGCAAACATTCCCTACAATGAGCCATAAAGACAGCCCCACCCCACCTCCAGTTGGTGCCAGAAGATCTTGTTTATATTGGAAGTTTCAGTATTCACCAGCCAATACAAGTTTCACATACAGTCCTAAAGGAAACTGGACTTTTGTCTTTTTATTTCTATTTAAAGTAATGTCTGAGTTGTGAGAACTAGCTACAAACCATCTGGAGAAGATAAGGCCAAGAAAAAAAATCAGTCTCGCTGGAAATGCTTGTGTTGGGGGTGTCTATGGAAAATTTTTATGAGGAAACAGAAGTGGGTTTGTGTCCCTGGCAATTGCAAAGGTGCTACTCTGTGAGAGACAGTTTATTTAAATAACTGTGTAGAAGACTGTAAATTGAAGACTGTAAATTAAGAGGAAGGTGGTATGCAAAGTGGACGTACTGTGGGTTTTTTCTGGATTACTGTGGGATGGAACACCTAATTACTACACTTAATTTCTTTTTTTTCTTTATTCAGTGAGAGATTTTCCCCTTACTTGCGACACAATAAAAATAATTTTAGACTTCATTTAGTACTTAAGATATTTCTGATATTGGACTGAAACATTGCTTTTAAAAGCACTGTGTAACCAGTATAATGCTTTTCACCAATTTTGGGTAGTGAGGGCCAAGAAATAAAGACAATCTACTCCTGTGGCTTTGTCTGTGTTAGGGAGTAGTACAGACTAGTAGGAACAAATGTGTAGGGCTAAACAGGAAACCATTCCATATTTATTTCAGCATTTTTTACTTTAGATAGCTGTAATTGAGTCTCATAGAGTGAATGCCCATTTGCAACCAAAATGTATTAAGCATGTTTCTGGTTTGCCATTTTTCATATGAGAGAATCCACTTCCAGCACTCACAAATGGCAAATCAAAACACCAAAATGCTTTGATGGTTTCCCTTTAAGGCACACTCTGGATCCTAACTTAAACAATCATGTAGATGCGTGATATGTATCATCTTTTTTTTTGTGACAGGAATTAACCAACAGTACGTAAAGACAAGATGGCAGAAAGCTGGAGAAGAGTGAAATAAAACTGAAGAAGGTGAAGTTGTCCATAC